TTTTTTTTTTTTAAGAATGCAAGAGTTGTAACAAATTCATAATAACCCTATTGCCACCTGAACTTTCAGGCTTTTCCCTCCACCTGTCATACTTCCTCTCATCCTTCTGCCAAGCCTGTCTCCTGACACCCCGAAGTGGAGCTGGGAGCATTTCTCTGCTGTTGAAGGGGCTCATGCAAGCCCACCAACTTTCCTGACGGCAGCGACAGCAGCAATAGTACTAATACCAGTCGGGGTACAAGTGATAGTGATTTTTACTGTGTCCTCATATAAACCTGCGCTAGATGTTTGGGACATAAAAGCAGACCTCTCAGCCAGCTGAACAAGAGAGGGACAGCCAGTAAGTCAGTCACTACTCATGTGTGAAGGAGAGTTCAGTGTGCACAGGCAGCAGAGGCTGCTGTGAAAGAAGTGGGCATGGTTCATACCCAGAGTTCCAGGAGGAATTTCCTACTGTGCAACCACAGTCTGAGAGGTGCTGGCAGGACACAGGAGGAGGCCGATCATTACAGACAGAGATGAGACCTGTTCTTTCATAAGAGCACACTGAGCCCTGAAGAGTGCATTTACCGCCATCCAACCTACAGTGGTTCTAGATGGACCATATGGACCCACTTTTAGAATTTTTAGCAAATTGGCTCCCCGCCCCCCATGCACTGTGCATGGATGTTGCTTATTGTTGGCTTCTCTTCTGAGGCAGACAATAAAATCACAGGTTAAAAACAGCAAAAGCCAGCCTACTTTTATATGTGGTTTAATTTTGCTGATTGTTCAGTTGGGTGTGAGTTGAGTGCTGGAGTTAAGATTTAAATGGTTTTTATTGTTTAAATTCAAGCTCAGTGTCATTGTCAAAAAAAGGCTGTACTTGCATCGTGTGGGCAAATGGAGCTACTCTCTGGGAATCACAGGATCTCATTGCTCCTAATAAAGTCGCAGCAACAAGACTACATTTGCCTATTGTGAATGTAGACCAGCGAGACGGAGGCTGAGGGTGGGGGTCTCCACGCGAAGAGAAGGGCAAAAACCCTACCACTCAGTGACTCTCAGAATCACAATGAATCTGCTGAAACTCTCAATACCAAGTTCCCTGCCTTGGGGGCCAAAGATGTAGAAAACAGGCAGGAGATTCTCCACCAGCGATGTTCCATGCCCTTGCGAGAAATGACTCCTATGGAAAGCATGCTGAGAGAATTCTACCTTAGTCTCAGTATTTGGCCAATAACTGTTGTTATGCTTTAGCTTTAGACTCAGCTGTTGGGATACTGAATAATCAAGTAGCTAAACATCCAATTCGATAGCATTTTTGGTTCCTCTGATCCCACAAATGACATGACTGTAGGACCAGACACATCACCAACATATTTAAGCAGGGTCCCCATGAAAGCAACATGCACAGGGAATGTCACTAGAGCTTATTATTCGTAACCAAATAAGCAGTTTAAAACTGTCGAGCAAACTTGAAATAAGTGGAGTGAAATTTCTAAGCACTTGATATGTTGTAATTCTCTCAGTCAGATGAAAAATGAAAGCATCTTTAATACTGTAAGAGGGAAATGTTGCGATAAAAACTTAGTGTGAAGGCTGCTAATTTTATCTAGAAAAATTTACAAAGAATTATTCACCCCAAAGGATAATAAATTGCCAGTTAACAGGCAATACTAAGAGTGTGTTTGGAAGACAGACTTAGGGAAAACACATCATTTTTCTGCCAACAAATATTTATCAAATTTCAAATGCTACAAGGCAGGAAAGCAGAGTGGAGATTATGTGAAAATTCAAGTCTCAGAAAAGCTATACTTACACTAAACAAAACAACCTTTAAGAATTATATTTAATTTTCAGTTATTTAATTGCATTTAGACAATGAGTTGTTCAGGTGGGGAAAGTGTCCTAGCTGGGAACTCTTTATTATCTTGTTATGAAGAAATAATCATTAAATGTCAAAGTTGGCCCTAAGAAAGTCCACAAGAAAGAAAACTCTGTAAGACTATCATGAGACATCACCTCAACAGTCATAACAGAAAATTCCTCACCTCCCTCTGCCCTACTATGGCATTTAACACTATTGATACACTATGCGTTTTACTCAGGGTTCTGCTTACTGCCTGCCTCTCCAAATCCCAGGACATAAATTCCAAAAAGAGA